AATCCCTTCTAAAGTCTACAACTCAGTTCTCTAGCATTATATCACAACTGTCTCTAAGTCTATCCCAAGAATATCTCCAGTGCTCATCATTCATAACAGCAATGCACTGGCAGCTTGCAGCAAACAAGTAATATCGCTCCTTGAAAGACACTTGCACAATCGGAATAATCACGCAAGATCTGCTTCCAAAAGGCCGCAAACTCATGAAGTGTAAGTGGGTGTTTAAGAAAAAACTTCAATCTGATGGATATCTCGACAAATACAAGGCCAGATGTACTGTAAAAGGGTTTACTCAGCAATCGGGAATCGATTACAAAGAAACGTTTGCACCTATGCCATGGGCAGAGATGGCCGCATTGTGCTAGTTTTAGCGCATCAATTTGGGTGACATAGACGACAGGGTGATGTCCTGTCAGCATTTTTAAATCCTGAACTGGATATAGACTTATATATGGAAATGCCAGAAGGATATAAAATAAATGGTCATATCATACGCATCAGAAAAGGTCTGTATGGACTTGAGCAGGCTGCAGCCTTGTGGTTAGATGATGTAAGAGGAGTTTTGCCAAGCAGGGAATGTTTCCTACTACAACAGATGGATGGCCATACACAAATAGAGAAAGTGATCTATTTGCAATAATTCATGTGGACGACTTCTAGGTGATGGGACCTAACATTGGTAAGATCAAAAAGCTCATGACGTCCTCACATAAACAGTATAAGCTTACGACGGTTGATACAAATATGTTTCTTGGTATTCATATCAGAGATCCTGACAATTATACGCTCAAATTATCACAAAGTAAATATGCACGCAAGTTAATCAAGAGACACGGTCTAAAAGATTATAAATCAGTCAATAAACCACACGAGAGACTATGTGAACCAAATGCATCAAAATGTTCAAAACAGCAACTAGCAGAGTTCAAATCTATCAATGGTGGATTACAATACCTGGCAAACAATACTCGACCAGATATTTCACACGCTATTAATCACCTCGCACGCTTTCTAGTGAATCCATCTGGTGAACATATTCTAGCCGCCCGCAGGGTTATTTGTTATATTACCAAAGACCCGGACAAAGGAATTAGTCTTCGAATTGGGCCAGAAAAACCACGCTTAGAGGTTTACTCAGACTCAGTTTTTGCTGGTGATCCTTTGTGTGACAAAACCAAGCTGGTTGTAGTGTACTTTTAGAAAGATTAAACCATATGAAGAGAGAAGTACGACAACTACGGGCAATAACTATTTGTACATCCTTCTAGCTCATCCAGTACGTACTCCGTTGGTGAGAATGACATATTGCTCCGCCACTGCCCGTCGTCATCTTTGCCATCTAGCTGACTCTCTCACTTGGAAATTCTACTTCGCCGTCTCACATTCCTTCCTAGCTCCAATGTAATGTGGCCAAGTGAAACTTTGTTGCTTGATACAAGATAATATATAACACTCTCCCTAATACGCCCCCAAACTCCGCTTAGGTCTCCGCCTAAGCCAAACCATGGTCAAACCTTAACACTTTGCCAACAGATCGACCTCTGGGATTCTTGTAAACCTTGCATCAGGACCAATATGCTGGAAGTCTTGTTTACAGCAAGAAGTTGTTCTATCATCAACTGAAGCAGAATATTTAGCCGCAACAGAAGCCTGCCGCAAATTTCAATGGGTGAAGTCCCTCTTGGAAGAATTGGTTCTTTACAATCAAGTAGAAGGAGCTTTGAAGACCATCCTTTATGTTGACAATCAATCTACAATCTCATTAATTAAAAATCATGACAACCATAAACAGTCTAAGCACGTAGCCTTAAGAAACTCTTACTGTTGCCAACAGCATGATAAGGGGGCAATAAAAGTCGAAATTTTGCCATCTAATAAGCAACTGGCTGATAGTCTTACAAAACCCAACTCTCTGGTTCCAATCTTATAGATATCATAATTGAAGACAATTCATATTGTCAGGGAGAGTGTTATGATGTGAAATCACTCAGCAAATTAGACAAGCTGTATTAGATGATATAGAGATCTATACAAGATGTGGTTGGTGTAGTGACATCATAACAGTTGCATGTGGATAGTGTGAACAAGAATATAAACTATGCTATAGCACATGATAGAATATCTTACATCACAAAATGGAATATTCTACTAGCAATTAGATAGATGAGCTTCAGGTATAAACAGGAGTATTCTCCTTCATATACATAGTAATCATCAGGAAACAAATCTAATAAAGCGAACACATATCATTGTCCACTTCATAATAGTGTCCAGCACATATTGATATAGTCACTGTTTGTATGCAATTCCCCTCCTCATAATCACAATACCACGAGGCAATGATTCAAACTACTCCACCACGTCAAATCTTCACTCCCAAAGAGTCTGATTCATACCTAGGCCTCATCAAGACTACAAGTACGACCTAGTACACCCTTATTCGAATGATCACACCTCTTGTCGACTTTCTCTGGCCTAAGCTGGCCGCCAGATACACGCCCATGCTGATATTTATACCCGACAGAGGAAGCAAGGCGTAGCGCACAAATCTTTGAGACAGTTCTTTGGGATGGACGTGAGAGGGATCAGGACAAGTTGATAAGATGATGCGGAAGGAAGAATGTAACTTTGAAGGGCGTGAAATTCCGAATTTTGGCAAGGAGTTATACATTTTGGCTGTGTGCGCGCCAAAACTTCGCTTGCGGGAGTGCAGGCAACACTGTAAACACAAGACAACGATGGAAGTTGTTGTGGTCCGTCTCCTGGTCGTGTTCTTCGGTATAGTTTGAGTAGCCTGGGCACTTACCTGTCGTTATAATTAATCAATTTATTGTTCTGGATATTCATGTAATTAATAGAGTTTGGAGTACCGGCGCACCTGCTTAGGTAAGCAGCATGGATTTGATTACTAAGACACAAACATGTATTACTAGCTTTTGTTGGATAGAAGAGAGAATTAAGTTATTTTTTATATATATTTTTACCATCACCTAAGTGAAGTCACACTACCCCACTTGGGAAGGAGACGCCTAAGACCGAGTTTCGTGCGGAGAAAATTTAATGGATGATGGAGGCCTTTCTGGATAACTTAGGGTTTTTGAGACGTTCCCCTGGGTGGTTATTCACGGATGAGGGTTGACTTGGGGTGAAGAAAAAGCCACCATAACTTCGCAGTGGTACTTGCAAATGAGATCCAAGGCATGAGTGCTCTAGTTACAATTGAGTCATGTATTATATACTTTTCTCTGATATTATGTCATAGCTAGATAGCTGCATACGCAATTTAAAATCTGATGCGAAAAAAAATTCATCTCTGTTTCACAACTTCTCAATAATGCCTCTCCTACCATTCTCATCTGATTTCGCAACGACCGATAAAGGAGTTGCTCTAATTGCAAAGAAGAACTTTCATGAACTAGTGGCCATGACCCATTACCAACTCACGACGTTAAGTGTGTCCGCAAGGAGGAAATTAAGTCATAATATACAAAGTTTGGGTCTTGGCTTATGGGGGACTGCTGCTCTAACAAGGTTATACATCTTGAGGAAGGACAGGCTGCTGAGATGGGGAGCGAGAGTGAAAAGAGGTCTCTGAAGACCGTGTTGGGACTGACGTTTTCGAGGAATTTTCAACTTTGGGCTTTTTGTGGGCGCCAAGACTAAGATTTCGGCTAATTAGCCAGGAGGGCTTCTTTTGTCGATGAGTCAACGGCACTCCCCAGCGCCCTGGACGCCACAAAACAAGACGGGCTAAGCTACTATACAGCAATCACGCTCTGTCAAGACTTTTCTAAAATTTGAGCATGAGCTTCGGGAAGGAGTTGAAGGAGGCGAGAAGGGTGGAGCGGGAAAATCCCGAGGTACCCACAAGTCCGCAGCGCCCAGCTGGCCGGCCTCTTCGACCGCTTCAGTAGGGTCAGTATATCTTAGGATCTAGTCCTAATATCAGGGTTAGAAGAGCTCTGCACCCAGTGGTTTATGCGAATTTTTGCGGCTGCCATTCACGCACAAATGGCCATGGTTTCGTTGGTTGGAGAGGGGAGATAATGTAGGGCAAAGGGCTCCTCTAAGTGTATGATCAAATGAGGACTTGTGAGGGGTGGTACTGTTTAAGGGGAGCTGTATGGGAGGCATAGAAGGGGATGTAGTACTAGATAGATATCCTCGGCCTGTAGGCAGAGGGAACCTGCATGTCCTTGTTTAGTCATGAAATTATTAGGATGATAAACAAAAAAAATCTTGAACTTTAACAACTTCCTGCCAAAGTCCAAAGCTCAGGCCTCACGAGATGTCGTTGGAGTTGATAAGGATCCTTTGTATCCGTAGGAAGAGATTTAAGCTGGCTACGATGGATCTAGTGCTTTCACGCATTGCGGATGAGTCGGGCCTGCACTTGAAGTGGACTTGGAAAATACAAATATAAACGTCTAGTTATTAATCTGAGCATGGCGCGGCCTCGCGGGCTATGTCGCCCGTCATAGCAGCTACATGTGCCATACGATACAAGATCGATGCGGGTCGACGATCTATCACACGAGCATAACCATTTTCGCTTAGGCAAAGTGCATTTGCTCCCCAGCTAAACTGTTCACACCGTCTTTGTCATTTTGCATTTCATTTGCCCAAAGTCCCAAGCTATTTGGGCTCATGGCTACCATACTCAGCATTCCCATCCGCTGCCCCACCGTGTTTCATGACAAGACATTTTTCTATTAAGTCAAGTCACAGTCTCTACTAGACCATCCCAGCATCTACATTTCCCTGGCTCTCTAACAATTAGATATGGACCTCAACCATCAGCCCTAAATATGGGTAAAGAGTGCCTCACATATACTCCTTTTTTGGCGAAGCTTCTCCCATCATTCTTTAACCCAAGTTGCACCATTCTCAAAGACAACTTTGATCTCGCAGCTCACCAACCTCCAGACTGAACGAAAGCATTGACCAACAAAGCTCATTCTAAAACAAAGGAATCCCTCTCGGCCAAAGTCATTTTCGAAATGAGACTTCTACGACTGGCTTCAATTATCGCCTTACACGGCCATCTCGTTACAGTGTCCTCATACAATTACTATCGATGTCTCTCGGGAGTCCGCTTCCCAAAAGCTAAAATACACCTACTAGGGACCCAAATACGCAATAAAGCAGACGGGCATCGAATAAAATATATTGATATAGAAGATGGAATGCCAATCTATGAGTTTGATACTCAGGTTATTAATAACGGTCAGTCCACAACTTCCATGATGATTGGCAAAAGCTGCTAAATTATCCACCTCTACAAGTCAGACATTTGTACTTGATAAAGGCAAATCTCGCCACGGAGGCTTTATGGGTGATGGAGGAAATCAATGAAGTCCGGAAATACTGTAATCCAACTTAGAGTCCCGGAGGTATTCTGGAATGATGGGTCCAACTCTGGCCATCGAATTGGCACCACATGACGGTAATAAAGGAGATTGTCAGATCATAGATGAAAGATGAGGACCAATGTAGTGGTTGGTGAAAGTTAATCCGAATGATGCGTCGTCTACTACAAATTATCAAGTGTTTTGATCCTGGCTTGCATGGAATCTTTTCGTGGTACAAGATGTGATGGAGTAGCTAGTCTTTCCACCACCAAGAATTCTCTAGCAAAATCCCAATTATCTCCATATCATACCCCATGTGAAGTGACAGCACCAGAATGAATGGCGTTATTTTGTGTCTAAAGAGGAAGATTACATCGTCGTGGCATCAGCCTCAACATGTTCTCTCGCTTATCGCTGACATAATCATCTCATAGGAGCCAGATAAACTCCGGATCCCATTTGAGAGCCCACTGCCAGTAACATCCCAAGCCAGTCTATTTGTATCCAGAAATATAGCACAAGGTAAATACGCTCTTCGGCCCTATACTAGTCATTTCCCAGCCATGACTCCACAAATACGAGTCCAAGGCCTTATTTCGCACTCATCGGACGACGGATAATCTCTTACAGTTTGCCGGCAGACAGAGCTCGGAGGTTGTGGCCTGGGCACCTATTCCACTTGGGAGAGAGACGCTTAAGACCATATTCCGCGCGGAGAAAAGTTAATGGATGATGGAGGGATGTCTGGATAACTCAGAGATTCTGAGACGTTCCCCTGGGTAGGTATTCATGGATGAGGGTTGACTTGGGGTGAAGAAAAAGCCACCATAACTTCGTAGTGGTGCTTGCAAATGAAATCTGAGGCATGAGTGCTCTTCTTTTAAATTGACTCACATTTTCTGTACTTTTCTCTGATATTGTGTTATGGCTAGATAGCTGCATACGCAATTAAAATCTGATGCAAAAAAAGGGGCTTATTGATATCTTACCGACGCAAAAGCTTCGATACCTGTGCCGCCGCCAGGTTCATGACTAAGTCAGATTGATCAGAGGCGAGCAAACGTTGAATAGTCAATGTGCCCGCATCGGAGATTTGCGCTTATTCAGGCGGCTCATCGAAAGGAAACGGACGTTTAGCTTTGGGTTTCGTCCTGAAGAGATATGGCAAGGCTCTTCCCAAGGAACGTGGTACCTGTCACAGAGAACAGGTCTTGGACGCCAAAATCAAAGGGGCGCTTGAGGCCGCGCTGAGAGGAAAAGAGGCAGAACAGCAGCTATGGGGGACGATACAGTGAGTTAATGTGTTTCTAGATAGTCAGAATGCTGTTCTAGCACTTGAGACAGCAACCTCCTCGACTAGCCGCGAAGAGGTACGACAGTATTGTATTGTCAGGAAATGCTGCATAGTCAGCTAGTTGGTCAAGTGAAAGGTGTCCACATCACTAGTACATAAAACCTTTATCACTACACACGCTTAGTTCTACATCCATACATTCCTCACATATCGCATATTACTATCTGCATTTTCTTACTCTCGTGACTATACTTTCTCAATATCCCAACATGTATGCTTCCAGCATCAGCTCTCGTAACAGTTAAGTGGATCCATGGTCACTCAGGAATATAGAGGAACTATTAAAGAAATAATAACCCCTCAGTGATTGAGGTTGTAGAGCGCATTGGTTCAAGTAACTACCGAAGTGAGACTAAGAATAGAATTGGTAGTCAGGTGTGTATCAACAACGTGGCCTATTTGATAGCCCTAATTATTCTAAATTCTAACATGAACGAAGAGGAAGACGTAAACGCGTAATCTGGTTTACAAATGTTGCTAGAGATGGAGCTGGTTAAGTAATAAGGCCGTGTAATTAGGACTAGTAGCGCGGTGGTCTTGTATTTACGCGTCGTGAATAGAGAACGGTCAAGTACTTGCGACCTCCCAGAGCTCCAAACCCTAAAGTATTTCTTTGCTCGATCCGGATACCCAACCAGGATCCACCTCGTTTGCAAACCTTCGCCGTCTTATGAATGATCGGCTACAGGCCTTGCTCGACAATTGGTGGGGTATAGAATACTCCATTCAATATCGCAAGCTAGATCTCCTCACGCGATGTTGCAGGTGTTAAGTGACTAGGGATGTAGTATACAGATAGAGAGTCAGATTAGGATGCTCACGGCGGTCTGGCGTTATGGAAGCACTCATGACTATTCAATTACTATTCGCTAAATCTCACTCACTCACTCGGTTGTGAGTAGTCCCTAGACATACCTCTGCTCCTTTGTTTTAATTCTTCTTGGCCCTTGAGCACTTGCTTGCCATATTCTACTTGTCACAATAGCAAGCCATCAGAACTGGCATTATCAAGGCACTTAATGTCGGTATGTAACCTTCTTTACCCGACCTGTGAATGTATAGTACGTGGGCTTCGTAATATCATACATCAGCATAGGGCGCTAGTCGAGCTCCTTTTTGTAGTTTAGAACCGGAACATCACATGAGAAGAAGAAGACCCGAAATACACAACTTACCAATCAGCATTTTAATGGCATTAAAACAAGTGTGTGTGTGTGTTTTTATCATACTACTTGTGTCTATGACTATCTAGCACATTGGGCTCCTCTCTGACCCAGGCCATACCTTGTACAGTGCTCCTATCCTCTTTTGTTGCTTGAAAGATCATTGATGTATTCCCCTTGATGAGTAGCCATTCAGCTCAGTATTTACTCATGGAATTCGGCCACCTTTCCCACGGAATCTTCTACCCAAAAATAAAAATAAAAATGGTAGCAATGGAAACTGCGTGCGCCGGAAAAAGTCTCAAAAAACCTGCAGGCCCAGCCAGGCGAGGTCTAGACACCGGGACCAAATGAGGTGCGCATGTTCATCTATATCACCCCTCTTTGTAACAGTCAAGGCCGACTTGATCCAATTCATCATTGCTGTATCGGGTGTTGGGTACGCTCCGGAAACTCATCGAATGGCTTTTCCTCCGTGATCGAGGGTTAGTGATGAGTAGGGCTCCGACCCCACCATCTGATCTGATCGTGGTTAGCTTCATGATAATGGTGATAGGGGAATGTGTTGAGAGATGAAGACGATACAGACGGCGAAAGGGATTAGGAATCCTCATTGAAGTGATGACATTGTTACTCAATCTCGGCTCTGCAGACTCTACAGTGAGAGCTGGAGGTTTTTAGGGGACACCACTGACGGTTGTTGAGAAAAGTCCCCAAGGTATCACGATATCAGAGCGTAGGCAGATTGAAAAGTTGAAGGGGTTTACCAAGTGGTTTCATCCCATACAATTATAAGAGTTCGCAGACACCTACATCGAACTAAAGGGCGTCAAATCGGGCTAGATGAAATTATGTTCAAAAAACTCAACAGGATTTCCATAAGTAGTTTAGAACCAGCTACCTGTACCACACTTTTTGCCCGTAAAACTCATGCTGATACAACAAAGTGCTCAATTTGAATAACTAACTTTGAATCTATGAGAAGAGAAAATACTATGCAGTCACACTTCTCAATCCTTCTAATGTTTTGATACTCGCACATTTTAAATAGCGGAATGCTATGACGTGAATTTACTAAAATGTTTGTTGCACAATGCGGTTGACCGGGCAACACTAGTGTAAGCTAAGTGATGGACAGTGACGGCATTCATCATCGGATCTAATTATGTTAGATTACGGAGGAAGGTATGTTACAACGACTTCTCACAGTCAACATTGAGATTCAGGAATGATACAGTAGGTAGCCTAAAAAATTGATCTCGTATTAGTGAAGAGCTTCACCGTCGTAGTTCCAACAGCTCCCATTTCAGCTGCCCGAGCATCGGCAAATCGCTAACCACTTTGCTACAAATGCGATATTATACAGATTAGAATATATCACCCACAAATGTAAGTTTAGTCTTAACAAATGTACAAAAGCTCCTCTGACTGAAACAAATGAACTAGGTGTAAGTCGAAAAACTTGCATTAAATAACTTTCATTCTTAACGAGACTTTTCGCAGCTCAAATAAGTAGACTAAAAATTCAAGGGCAAGATTACCAATTATACGTATAGTTCTAATATTAAAGGTTGCTTTAGCATAAGATCCTTTGACAATCAACATCCTGAATATCTAAACTTTCACACTCCATTAACACTAATCGTTGGACAAAATGGCTGTGGCAAAACTGTGTGTGACACCTCCAAACTATGTGAATTTCACTCATAAAAATGCAGACAATCATTGAGTGTCTCAAATATGCGTCTACTGGTATTCAGCCACCCAACAGCAAAGGTGGCGCTTTCATTCATGATCCAAAGGCAAATACAAATATCACCAACTTTATGATTATTTTATTTACTAACGAAGAAAGCTTACTGGAGACAAGGAAACATTAGGTCATGTCAAGCTCGAATTTTGCAATACCTCTCAAAATAAAATGGTTGTTTCACGGACCATGTCTCTAACAACCAAGAAAGGAGGTGTCACACAGAAAACTCTTGATTGTACACTTCTCATGCACAATCACGGTGAAAGATACACGATGAGTACAAGAATGATGGATATGGATAAGATCATGCCTGCACAGTTAGGGGTCACGGCTGCCGTACTGGACAACGTGATATTTTGTCACCAAGATGAATCACTATGGCCTATGGCAGAGCCCCAAAAACTGAAAGAAAAGTTTGATAAAATATTTGACGCTCAAAAATATACAAAAGCTATTGATAACATGATCAAGATGCGAAAAACTCACAAGGAAGAGCTGGGGAAGCTCATTATTCATGAAGCCAATAGCAAAGTCATGAAAGAAAAGGCCGATCGATCACAGAAGAGGATGTCTTCGTTAGAGACAGAAATTGATGTTCTCCGCGAAAAAATTGAATCATACAATAGAGATATTAAAGCTGCATCAGAAGTGGCAAAAGAAAAGAAAATAGCCTCCAACAAGGCCCTCGGAACAGTCGAAGAATTACGAACCAAGAAAGAACGAGCAAATGACTACCAATCATTTCTAGATACCCTAAAATCTGATTTGGAGGAACTCGAAGAATCAGATGAATGGCTTCAGTCAACTTTGGACAAGTATGAAGAGCGCATGTCCCACTATCGACAGAAATCCCAGGACTTTAGCTCTCAACATGATAAACTATTACAGGCCCAGGCGTCCTCTCGTCAGATGGTCTTAGAAAAACAATCCAAACTTGGCCTGTATCAAGCTGAACAAAAGAGTCACGAAGCTAATATCCAGTCTCGCACTGAGCTCATTAAAGATATAGCACGTAGTCTATCCATCGACGGCTATTTTGGTATTCTTGAAGAATCTCATGCTCAAGACTTCATAAAATATTTGTACAAATCTATCCAAGAAAAAGACCATGAAATAGTCCGTATTCGTAATTCAACTAATGACGAGCTGCACAGCGTTCAAGAACAATTATTAATACTCGAAAAGAAAAAGACGACCCGTGCTCAAGAAAGTTTCAGTGCCAAGGAAATAATCAGTGATAACATAAAGCAGATAGAGATGAAGCAGAAAGAGGCTACCATTATAAATGTTGATGAGAGAACTATAGCTGTCTTAGATGCATCATTGGGTGATCTAAGAGAACGGCTCGGCGACGCTAACATTGAATTTGAAGCTATGGACTGGGATGGGAAACTCAAATGTGAAGTTAGTCGCTTAAGAGAACTAGAACTTGAATCTGATCGCCTTAAAAGCGAGCTCTTTGATAGTAACAGGTTTGTAAAAGACCAAGCAGCTCTAGAGTACGCCAGAAACCAGAAATTTTCAGTTCAGAATTCTCTAGAAGCAATAACTGAGAAATACAATGAAAAATTTAATCAATTTTTTGGCCATAACTGGCAGCCTACCTCTCTGCAGACAAACTTTCACACCTTGTATAGCCAGAGATCCAGAGCGTTAGCCCAAGCCAAAAGTGAAAAAGAAGACGCGGAGAGGAAATTACGTGATCACGAATTTAAGCTGAAGACATCAAAGGCCACTCTTCTAGACAAGAATGAAGAAATGTCGAGATGTGAAGAAATCATCCTATCCTCTATTTTGACTTCATCTGGAGAGAAACTTCAAAGTGTAGCAGACTTTTCCGAAGAATTACAAGCTATCGAGCAAGAGCAGAATGAGCTGCGTCAAGAGATAGGTAGTATATCTATTGTCCGAGAATATTACGAGAAAAGCTTAAAAACTCTCCACGAACAGAGTTGCTGCCGACTCTGCGAAAGAAAATTCTTAGATTTAAAGGAAAAAGTTACGGCAGAAGAGAAATTGCAGAGGATGCTAAAGAAATATGTAGAAGAGCAAGCAAAGGAGGAATTGAAATTGTTGGAGCAAGATCTTGAAAGGGCTTATGCCGCTCGTCCGCAATACGAAATTTATAAGAATCTTCGTGACGTCGAGATCCCATCGCTTAATCTTCAGATCGAGGAATTAGAAGCGGAAAAAAAGAAATTTAGCTCGGATCTTGAACTTAAGGATGTCGAGTTCAATAAAAGATCCCAAGTAGAAAGAGAAATAGAGACCCTCAGGGACCCTGTGAATAGCATAGTAAAATATCACTCCGAGATATCCACGCAACAGAAATTAATACAGACGCTGTCAGCACAACAAGAATCAATAGGAGTACGCGTGTCAGTAGATGACATTCAAGGGCTATTAGCTACTTGTGATGCAAAAGCACGTGCTGTTCGGGAAAAAATCGACTGCCTTAATAACAAGCAAAATCGTGCGAGGCTTGAAATATCTAGTATAGAGGTCGAGGTCGGAAATCTCAGTCAGAAGCTGCGCTCCGCGCAACATGAGATGGATAAAAAGCAAGCTCTTCTCCTTGCCATCGAGGAAATTAGGCAAAGTACTCAGCGTCAACGTGAAATTATACTTGAGGTAGACAATGAACTTAAAATCCTTGGTCCCCAATTTGCGGAAATTAGGAGCAAACACCAGGATGTTCGACGAGATGGCGAAGAAAAATCCAAAAAGGTGCAAGCTGAGAAGGATTACTTGGCACAATCTTTAAATAAAATAAATCTTTTCCAAGATGTAATCCACAAGTATTTACAAGATAATGGACCCCAAAAGCTTATGACATGTGAAAATGAAATTATTGGTATTGAGCAGGATCAAAAGAGAATCGATGAAGAATTAATTCAAGTCACTCTCAGAGCGAATGAGCTGAATTCCCTAATAGCAGACAGTGAAAAGACCAAGAGAAGTATCGTTTCTAATATTAGATATCGAAAGACATTCCAAGAGTTGACTGAAACGCATGAGGATATTGCTAAACTTGAAAAACGGATGTCTACTGAAAATGCTGATTGCCTCATACAAGAGCATTTGGCAGCCGAGAAGCTTGGGCAAAATCTTATGGCTGAACGTGGACCTCTCGTTGGTCAGATGAGTGCTAAAGATAGCGAACTAACTGGTCTTATCCAGGAATGGGAGACTGATTATAGGGATGCAGGGCAGAAGTACCGGGAGATTCATATAAAGGTTGAAATAACTAAGGCTACTATTGACGATGTCATTAAATGTACTCACGCCGTTGACAATGCTATAATGAAATACCATACGCTAAAAATGGAAGAGATTAACTCGATTGCTGGAGATCTATGGAGGAATACATATCAAGGAACTGATATTGATTCCATTATGATACGCTCAGAAAGTGAAAACAATTCTACCTCTACTAAGCGAAACTACAACTATCGCCTCTGCATGGTTAAGCAAGATACTGAGCTAGACATGCGAGGTCGTTGTAGTGCCGGTCAGAGGGTTTTGGCTAGTATAATTATTCGATTAGCTTTGGCGGAATGTTTTGGGGTTAGTTGTGGGGTGAGTATAGTCGCTAATTTTCAAGATTTTTCTTTTTATCTAACGTAAATAATATAGGTGATAGCTCTTGACGAACCAACAACTAACCTAGACCGTGAAAACATCACAGCCCTAGCTGAATCCCTTAACCGGATTATCCGAGTGCGAAAGAGACAAAGCAACTTTCAACTGATCATAATTACTCATGATGAGGAATTTTTACAAGCTATGAAGTGTAATGAATTCACTGATATATACTGGCACGTGTCGAGAGACGTTCACCAGAAGAGTTCCATTAAGATGGAATCCCTAAAGGATAGTTGAGTAATTTTAAAGGTGCCTTATTGTATTACAATCTTCATAGACTGGTAGGCTGCATGCCATAGAACAAAACTTTGATACCAAATTCTCAAGTTACCCTATCTTTCGAAAATTTCACGTCACACTGTTGGTTCATGTATTTTTGGGTGATTGGCGTAAATGGGTCAAGAAGCAGAGTCAGGAAACCGGCGCCGACGAGTAACACATACACCAAGTAATTTGACATAGTCGCGAATCTAGGCTTGGATGATGCGTGGGAAATGGGTGACGTGGTTGAGTCAAGGAATCGTAGTTGGTGTCCTAGCAGCACTGGCGTAATCACGTAGACTCTTTTTTTTCGCATCAAATTTTAATTGCGTATGCAGCTATCTAGCTATGACACAACATTAGAGAAAAGTAAATAATAGATGACTTAATTGTAACTAGAGTACTCATGCCTCGGATTACATTTGCGAGTACCCCTGCGAAGTCATGGTGGCTTTTTCTTCACACTAAATCAGCCCTCATCCGTGAGTACCCGCCCAGGGGAACGTCTCAAAAAGCCTGAGCTATCCCGACATGCCTCCATCAACTTTCAAATTTTCTCCGCGCGAAATGTGATCTGAGGTGTTTCCTTCCCAAATGGAGTAGGTGCCCAGGTTACTCAAACCATACCAGAGAACACCGGCAGGAGGCGGACCACGGCACCATCCATCGTTTGCTTGTTTTTATAGTGTCAGCTGCACTCTCGCAAGTGAAATCCTGGCGCACGCAAAGCTCAGTTCGTTAAACTCTTGCCAAAATTCAAAATGACACGCCCGTCGAGTTTGTATCCTTCCTTTGCATCATCTTGTGAACTTGTCCTAATCCCTCTCACGTCCATCCCAAAGAGCTATCTCCTCGATTTGTGCTCCACGCTTTGCTTCCTCCGTCGGGTATAAATAACGGCGTGGGCGTGTATTTGGTAGTCGAGGCCAGAGAAAGTCGACGAGAAGTATGGTCATTGGGATGAGGATGTACTAGGTCGTACTTGTAGACTTGATGAAGCTTAGTTGAGAATCGGACTCTGGGAGTGAAAGATTGACATGGAGTAATTTGAAATTTTGCCTCGTGGGCCAACTTCTTTGATATTGCGAAATTTGAATGAACTTGCCTCTGGGAGAATATTTCACTCTTAGGTTCGTAGAGGACACGGCGTACAGGTGTTCAGTCTTGCCCTCCAGGAGGGTCGACTGTTTGTGTAAGCAAGCATACCTCATAGTGGTATTTGCGAAAGAAATCCAGGGTATGAATGTCTCTAACGTCAAAAGAGTCATCAAATATGCATATATGGAACCGGTCATGTGTCATGGCTAGAAATCTGCACACACATTATATACCTAAAAAAGTCTCCCATTCCCTACTGCTAGCATCAGTACCATCGGATGATCATCACTCGACAGGCAAAAGAGACCTTTAATTTTCATTTGCTACGGCTGATTTGTCCGGAAGAGAGATTCTGAACACCTGTACACTGCATCCTCTACGGATCTAGGAGTCAAATGTTCTCTCAGAGCCACGTTCAAGCAAAGATGGAAATGCTCAAGAAGTTGGCCCACGAGGCAACAATTCAAATTACTCAACCACGTCAAGTTTTCACTCCCAACGAGTTTGACTCCAACCTAAGTCTCATCAAGCCTGCAACTACGACGTGGTACACCCTCATTTTAATGACCGCACTAGTATGATATGAACTCTCTCGTGTAGGGGGGCTCTTCTCAACACCTGTCAGTGGTGTCCCCTACGAACCTCCAGCCCTCGCTGTAGAGTCTGCAGAGCCGAGATTGAGTAACAAAGTCTTCACTTCGACGAGGATTTCCATTCGCTTTCGCCGTCTGTATCGTCTTCATCTCTCAACACATTCCCCTATCACCATTATCATGAAGCTAATCACGATCAGATCAGATGGTAGGGTCGGAGCCCTACTCATCACCAACCCTTGATCACGGAGGAAAAGCCATTCGATGAGTTTCCGGAGCGTACCTAGCACCCAATACGGAGATTGTGGATTGGATCAAGTCGACCTCAACTGTTACAAAGAAGGGAGATATAGATGAATATGCGCACCTCATGTGGTCCCGATGTCAAGGCCTCGCCTGGCTGGGGCTGTAGGGTTTTTGAGACTTTTTCTCGCGCAGGCAGTTTCCATTGCTACCATTTTATTATTTTGGGTGGTAGGTTCGGTGGGAAAGGTGGCCGAATTCCATGGGTAAATACTGAGCTGAATGGCTACTCATCATGGGCAATGTAACAATGATCTCACCAGTAACAAAACAGAACAGGAGCACTGTTGAAGGTGTGTCCTGGGCTAGAGAGGAGGCCAATGTGCTAGATAGTCATAGACTCAAGTAGTAAAATAAACGACTCTCTCACCCTCTCATCCTCTCATCACCTTCCAATCGAGCGTGTGTAAAGACCCAGTACTATCGGCCTGTCTGGATTGGCCAAGAAGAATTGCACCTAAATCAAAGTCGAAAATCCACACCAACTTATCGGTCAACCCTTCAATTCCCACACGAGACCCCCAATCTGGTCTCACCACTAACCAGTCCACCTAAATTGCCGATCGAGCATCAATATCATATGAAAACGAGAGTTTGCCTCATTATCAGCCATCTCCCACAACAAAATTACGACACAACTTGTACGCGTGAGGAAGCGGCCAATTCATATTTTGCTAGCCTCAGACTTTAGCTTGCGGAAGAATAATCCCATAGAGCTCGCGACATGAGGCTCGGCAGGTAGGGTGTGCACTTGGCACGCTCAGCCTCTACCTTTTCGGAGGCTTTCAAATTTATTATTTTTGCGAGCGCCAAGCTTGTGGATTCGGGGAATGAAGCAGTTGATCATCTATTGGCGAGTCTCCCATACTCCCTAGTATCTGGGTCGGCCCGAAGCAATGGGGCTAGGCTGCTACATGTCAAGGATACTCGTCAAGACTTTTCGGCAATTCGGATATGGCCTTTTCTATGTGACAAGCGACAAACGACGGAAGGCGGCCAGGAAGACACAGGTCTGCAGCGTCTAGGCAGTTGGAACGCCTGTGTAGGGGTCCCTCTGTCCTTGGTTCTAATCCTAATTCATTTGTTGGAAAAGGTCCGCGCACCCACCGATGTTTGCGGTTTCTCTTGGCTGCCAAACGCCTGCAATTAGCCATCGTTTAGTTGGATGGAGAGGACAGGCATTGAAGGGCAGAGGGCTCCACGATGGCTACGATAACCCGTGTAACTGTTGAAGGGAAGAGTGGATGAGGCATAAAAAGGGATACACTACTCGCAAAAGTATCCTTTGCCCGCAGGCAGAGAATACGTAGTATTTTACTTGCAGGCTCTGGTGGGTATTACTAGGTGTGCCGGCCATTTGCAAGTAGACAGATTAGTCAAAGTGGAATTCGGCGTGGATGCAGGTGTTGTTAGAGTTGAGTTAAGTATTCTAGCTCTGTCTGGCGAACACATATAATTTCGTGCAGTTTCTAGTCGGCTTCTGTGTACACGAGTCTCTTGGTATATACGAGAAACAGGAGAAAAATCTAATCATTCTGATGCAAGACAACAATAATAATGACAACTCTCCTTCAAGTCCAACCCAATAGCCTCACAAGTGTAAAATTCTCCCATAGCCAAATCCATTTCTCAAGCTACCAAGCTCTTCATTCCGCCGTTTTCATTTTAAATTCTCTCTCACTATCATCTCGGCCTATTTCAGCTCACGACTACAACATACCACACTCCATTCCGCTGCCTCACCATTACTCATGACAACATGTAATGTCATTTGGTCAAGGCATAGTCTCAGCCGGGCCATCCCATAAATTACATTTCAATTGCTCTCTCATCATTAGTTATACATCTAAACCGTGAGACTCCAGCGTTTATAAAGAATGCATCACAACCATACCTTACTGGTAACACACTATCCCACAATTCATCGGCTCAAGCCCACGTTTATTCCAACCAAATTCTATCCCGCCATCATCAGCCTCTCCAACGCAATAAGTCGCTCAGACGAGAAATCTCATTGCTAAAAGAAAATCGAAAATCACCTTGTCAGAGACACCATCGAGATGAAGCTCCTACAACAGGCTCCCGTCATTGCATTTTTGAGCCATCTCATTACAGTTTCTGCTATGAAACATTATGTTTGTCCATTTTCGGCTCGGTTTACGGAGGCCGAAATCAATCAGTTCCGGAACGAAGTAATTGAAAGGCGAGCGACTTCTTTGCAAGTCTATGGTATGCATGATGGCGCACCACTCTATGAAATCCGGCAACAGACTGTAGGAGAGGGTCAGTATATTTTTGTCCCTCGTCGCGTTACCCGCTGATTTTTCTTGCACTTCAAGAGACACACTACTTCCTACTAAAGGTAAATCTCAGCACTGGGCATTTCCAAGTGGTGGAGAAGAACAATGATGGCTTTCATGAGTGTAGACTACAGTAGAACTATGGGAGTAGCTTTGGAGAGATGGAAGTTCACGTCAGCCATCTTACTGATATTACAGACTGTATAAGAGTAGGGTCTTGGAATCTGAGATGGAAGATTTGGATCAACAATTTCATTAGAGGACACTTAACTATTCATGTTCTCTACTGTAAATCAATATATATTTCCTGCCGCGTTTGAGCCGACTGTTTCTAAATCTCTACATCCTACATGCGACTAGTGCTGTATTAAGATGCATAGTATTTATCAAGGTAGAACTTGTTGTGGTTATGAGCTGTGAGGTATATAGCAATTATGTCTCTGCTGTCCGTCGGTGGAATTACACGGGCTCATGTGCAATGGTGAGTCGCGGAGATGGCGCGCTCACGCTGGGTGATGGCACGATGGACACTGCGGCCAAATGGGTGTCAATAGGTATCAAATGTGAACTCTTACTGACGATGGTGATCTGTGAAGGTGATGCTAGATGTGCATCCCGACGATTGATAATATCATCTAATGGATGATGTGAAGTATGATATTATTTTGGATAGATGATTTCACTAAACTCGGCCGGTGAAGAGATTGTCGAGTACATGAACAGCGTCTGTGCACCAGCCTGTATTTTCCACCCTTTCCTAATCCAGCAGCTCATCCTCCGTTCCACTGTCTCCTAACAACTCATCCGAGCCAGCACAACAGAACTGTCTTGGTATGCGCTGCATTCAATAGCCGGTGGCAGAGACACCGGATAAGATACTGGGCCATGTACTTTAGTCGTAGAGATTTGTTAGAGTCTTATTTCCAAAGACGTCCTTCGATTATAGTTATACATTATGGGGTATAATTGTGATTCCTGAGGTAACGTGCTGGCTACAGCACGTGTGTGGGCTCTAAGAGATGCGATGAGTAACTCACGTAAAAAATGGAGAAAGATAATGTAAGAGTAAGTGGATATATGAATACAGGTGTGTGTGTGTGTGAACTATGTATCCTTCTAACTACGTACTAGGGATGAATAATGTATTCTGCGCTACGGTGGTCGAGCCAGTCTCTCAGTGCTCTTTCCTTACAAGGATGATGCTGATATTTTTATCGTGACCGGGTACTACCCCAGCACCCAGAGGGTATGGCACGGGTAGTCCAGATCTATACGACTCCTCGCTGCCCACATCATTCTTTCGTAGAAACCTAAACACACAAAACTAAAACAAAATAAAAAACCCATTTCAAACGTGCTAGCGCCCTGCGTTACTTCTTCATTCTCCTACCACACCGAACGGTGCCAAGAGGCATTACACTTGACCTTTATATCCCCCGTTCACGATTCAAACTTGCTATAAGACTTTGTTACAGTTATGAAACGCCAGAATTCCTGCCATCCTTCTTGCCCTATCATATCCCTTGTCGTAGGTCGTGGTTCCTTCGTTTCCGTCCTCCATTTCTGGATAGTCGGGCGACACTCTGCAAAATGCCATGACCACTTTTCTCTGCCACAATTGCAAAGCATTTCTTCATTCTGGTGGTGGAAGCGTCTATGATAGCTAGCGAAGTCGCCATGCCCAGTCCTTGCTGCGATGAGGCGGTGATATGCCCATCGAGGTAGAGCTAGCTCCGGAGGGCGTTTTCTCCGCATCAGTAGGTCCAAATCTTCATACCTACTTGATCTGTTCTTAAGCCACCATTCTTCCGCAAGTTTTTGTACCCGGATGTTGACTTCGTGTTTGAGAGCTGCAATAGTCAAAACATCGTGAGTTTCCTCCCAGATGCAATCTGGTCTCGGTATGTTCACATCCCGATTATTTGACGCAAGGTTTGCCTTTGCCATCGCATCGGCCTTTTCGTTTCCTGGAATGCCGCTATGTCCCGGAACCCAGTAGATCTCTATCGATGGTCGAGTCTTGCGTAGTTCCCAGAAATTCATGACTTCTACTTGCGAGGAATTTGTTCTGCCATTTTGAAGGGCTCTGACCGCCTCTTGATTGTCAAGGAGTACCTTGATATCTGTGCTGCCACCAATGTTTAACGCTGCCTCTAGGCCTCGTACTGCCCCGGTGATTTCCGCATCAAAGACCTCAGCTCCAGGAAGGAAATTTCCACTGCTCGCTATAAGATCACCGCCCCTATATATGGCGTAACCATAGGCTGAGTATGCTGGGACGGTCGATGACCCATCCGAGTAGACACAGAGTGTTCCTGGCGGAAGGTCCTTGAGCCAAAATATGATCTGCTTCGCCTTTTCCTCCTTGTTGCATTTAGCCCTAGTAGTAGTCATCGCTGTCTTTAGTTGGTAAAGCTGCCCAGGCCCTTCTGATGCTGGCAGGCTGAGGTTCCCATTCTGAAGGCGTGTTAAATATCGCTGTGGAACCTTAAAGACACGTTCTTTCTGCACCTCTCCTAGTTGGAGTCGCTTGATTGTGTGAAGGTTATGAGTTAATTGGGAACATAGTTACTTGGAATGTGTCACGATGTTTGTTCAGATGGTTTGATACTTGGTAATTTGATTGCTGGCAGGTGTCCGATACTTTTCCGATGCTGTTCATGAGACAGAACATAGACTACTTATATACTCTAATATGACCCTTGTCATTGTCTACGCCCTCTCTCCTGACTCACTGCCAACAGCGTGCCTAGGTAAAACTCTGCAGCTCATGAGTCCATCTCTCATGAGAGGCATCCGCTGTTCCGGTGGCTGGCGCGCGCGGTCCGAGTACGCGTCGCTGCAATGCCTCAATCACTTACGTGTAATATCCCAGCTGAGCGATCCTGAACCTAGCTGTTCAGGAACGACAGCAATCTAGTCCATGGTTCGCGCCTGTGGTTTGTATACACATCACAGCGTCGCTCCAATCGTTCCCATACAATGTCTCAGCTCCGCAGTCCTTAGTCCATTACCCAGGAGCGGAAGCAGTTGTATAGTTCCGATAGTGCGCTAGGTCTGCATGTACCTCTGAGCGCTATCCCGTAATTGCCCGGCGATACCTAACCGCTTATGACTAGCGTGTGTGATCAATAGAATCATCACGACGCTGCCCCAATCATTGCCTTGCAATGAATCAGCCCGGCGCTCATGAGTCCACTACTCAGGAGCGGGAGCAGTTGTATGGTTCCGGTAGCATGCGAGGTCTTCATATACCTCAAGGCGCTATCCTGTAATTGTCCGGCAATGTCTAACCGCTTATGGCTAGCGCACGTGGTCAGTAGAACCTTCACGTCGCTGCCCCAATTGTTGCCTTGCAATGACTCAATCCGGCGCTCCCAAGTCCGAGACTCGGGAGCGGCAGCAGTTGTATCCATGGTCAACGCACGACGTGCATATGCACCTGTCGGCACAGAGCCGGTCATTGACGAGCGATATCACAACAGATTGCCTCCTTGGGTGTCTCAACTGCCCTTGACAATAGTGGACAATGTTTTTTTTTATATTTTTATTTTATTTTTATATACATTTGGTCCTAAGCTAATGCTATCTTTTCCACACTGGGTTAAGGACCGGTGGAGCCGGCAAGGATCACTGCGTACAGGCCCAACTCATTCCAACCGCATGAACTTCTACTGAATTTGTAGAAGTTAACAGCAAAACTAAAATCAAAAACATAAATCAAAAACTGAAATCAAATTTGGAAGAAATACTGTTTGGTCCGGATCCCGCGCTTCTCGCCCGTTCCCTTTCCTGCCACATCTTCCACGTGACTTTTTCTTATCTCCACTGAGAGCGAAAGACTAGTTCGCAGATACCCTGAATTCAGCTGGTATCCTGCTATATATATTGAAGCTTTTTGTAGACTTCACCGAGGGTTGCTGTACCCTCAGACTTCTTCTTCGGATTCCAGGATTCCGAAACCCGATCCCTCGGCCATCGAGACATCCTTCGTTGAGGCCATCGTTGCCTCTTCGGCCCTTTTGGCTGCAGCCCTAAATCGAGCCACTTTCGCGAAATCCCCTTGCTGGATCTGGCGGATCCGCGCGAGCTGCTCTTTTGTCACCGGTCCCCCACAGTTTCGATACCGGGTGAGGGCCTTGCACTCTGATTCTGAGTGCATATTAGATCCGCAGTTCCAACAAGCTGGAGCGCGGGAACAGCCACGGGTGGCGTGAAATTCAAAACACCGTTTGCATTGTTCGATTTTGCGACGAGGTCGGAAGAGCTTTGCAGCTCCAGAGTTGTCGAAAAGGCGGAATCCAGGTCGAGGAACGGATTCTCGGGGAAGTAGCGCTTGCCAATTTAAGTAGGGCGCCCCTGGTTTGCTAGTCCCATGAGGACGAACCAGAAAGGGAACCAACTGGGTCACTCGCGTGATTTCGTCGGAAACCATCTTTGCCGTCACAGCGATTCGGCCAGCAAGAGTTCGAATTGTCTCCGAGACGGTGGCAATTTGCATGACAACCAGATTTGATGCTGGTTCCAGTTTGATTCCAGATTCGCTCCTTGATGTGGAGGAATCTAGGAGCTCTGTTCGAGCGAGTTCATCCTTTGCTGTTATTGCGAAGCCGGTCTTTACCCGCTGAACCAACGTGATATTGTTGGCAGCGGTTCCCAGCGCCTAAGACACCGCTAGCCTTACTCCAGCTGGAGAAAGGAGACGGCGGGGATGGAAATAGTCAAGTCGCAGCAAAAGACGTGAATCGGCTTTTTCACTCGAGTTGGCACTTTTTGCTTTCTGGGCAGGCGGTGCTAACTTTTTTGTCCATGGCCCAGCGCTACTGACTAGGCCTGCCCGAGCTACGGTGGCCCAAGTTGTCTTTGGGGCCGGAGCCTGGGTTTTCGTAGAGTTAGGTGCCCTAATTTCTGGAGCCCTCGGTGAGAGAGGGTTGGCGGGGCGGGCAGGAAGGACTGGTGGTGTGCTTCCTGGACCGGATTGAACGAACTGGCCAATAGCTGCTCCTAGGTAGACTTTTATACCGTCTACGAATTCTTTTCTTTTCGCCGATCGAAAGAGGCGAAAGTGCTGCTTCAACACTGTTTATCGCAGTCGAGCAGATGGCGAGGCGGGCCGTAATTTGCGTCGTACGTCGCT